GATTGCCTGTCAGCCAGTGTTTAAAGTGGGTGCCCAGTGAATGTGTCCCAAGCCTGGTTTCTTCTGGTCTGCTGGGGAAAAAGCTGTCTATAGTATGCTGCTTATCTTCTGTATATAAATTGTTCACTGTGTAATGAGTAAGGCCCTTAAATCTGCAGGATTATGCATGGTGAATAAATACATTTATCACTCTCTTGGAGCCCAGAGAGCCGATAGCTGGACTCCTCATCCATGATGGCACTTGAACTTGATACCTTTGGCTGGTGAATGTACCCTTGTGCTCGGATGGGTGGGGCCCAGTGCTGGCAGGCAGCCCGATCCCCCCCCTTCCCCCCCCCGGGCAGGCCTGCCTGTGTGGAGCATCAGCACGTGAAGTATTGCTGAGTACGTTCTTGCTCAAATAGTCAGCCCTTGTCTCTTCCTTTTCAGCGGCGATCGTGGAAGGCTCCAGATGACCGAACTGCCATGATCAAGCCCCTGCGGCGCCTCAAGCAGGAGCCAGAGGATGACCTGCCAGAAGCACCTCCCAGGTCCAAGGACAGCGACCAGTCACGGTCCAGCTCGCCCACTGCGGGTCCCAGCACGGAGGGCGCCGAGCCCAGAGACAAAAAGAAGTTCAAGATGAGGAGGAAAAGGCGGCTTCCCAATAAGGAACTGAGCAAGGAGCTCAGCAAGGAGCTTAATCAGGAGATCCAAAAAACCGAGAACAGCCTTGCCAATGAGAATCATCAACCCATCAAATCTGAACCTGAGAGCGAGAATGAGGAACCTAAGCGTGCTTTGAACAACAGCGAGAGACTCCATAGGTTCAGCAAAGGGTTGAATGGGACTCCCCGGGAGCTGAGGCACCAGCTCATCCCCAGCCTGCGAAGCACACCTCGGGGAATAACCCGGCCACCGCCTTCGCTCTCTCCTCCCAAATGCATTCAGATGGAACGGCACGTTATCCGGCCGCCTCCCATCAGCCCTCCTCCGGACTCGCTCCCCCTGGATGACGGGGCAGCCCACGTGATGCAGAGGGAAGTCTGGATGGCTGTCTTTAGCTACCTCAGTCATAGAGACTTGTGCATCTGTATGAGAGTTTGCAAGACCTGGAACAGATGGTAAGGAGGGCGGGAAACCGAGCGAGGTCTAACGTGTAGCGGGACAGACTTGAAAGGGAGGTGGGTGAGGGAGGCACTCATGCCTCCTAGAAGAGGTGTGCAGGTTGTCACTGACGCTCTGATGAGCCCAAGGAGAAGGGGTGACCAGCAGTGTCTGGAGAAGTAGCATGTCTTCTGCGGCTTTCTCAAAAACAGCAGCTCCCAGCATTTCTGATGGGAATTGTGTGCGGGTCGGCATCAGTGTCAGCCTGCTGGGGCTGTAGTGCCCCAGAGCAGCCTGTTCTGGGGTTAGACACCACGATGTTCTTGCCTGCTGGAACGGCCAGTCTAGGTCACGCTAAGTCTTGGTGTCATTCTGCCACCAGGACTTGCTGACTGCTAATGCAGTTGTTTGTTCAGTTCAGCTATCCAATATCTATTGAGATAGAGTGAAGATCTCCCAGTGCCCTCGGTGTTCTCTTCAGAAGGTCCGTGCTGATTGTTTCCCTGTCGAGGGTACGTGGAGAGCCACCCCGTTCGCTGTGTTCTGTACCAGCAGAGCTGATGGAGGAATCCTTCCTTAATTGTTATTTACCTACAGCGTGTCTGTTCGGTGCTCGGGGTACCAGAGTGTGAACATTGACACAGTCGGTGACTGTACAGCAGCAGGAGGCATTAGTGGACAGATTTATCTGTTTCACTGAACTTGTAGTAAAGTCTCTTGTTGGCTGTCATCTTGGATTCAACTGTAGTGTGCACACAGATGGGCAAATTGTAACAGAGACTCCTTTCTAGCACCGCCTAGTAACAAACTGGGTAAATGACTGAAAGGTTGAGAGGTTGATAATTCGGTGCAAGAAGATGTGTGTGGAGTGTCTCCTGCGTGGGCTTCGTGGTGTCACAGAAAGCTGGTAAATGCCTTTTCCACTTAAGTGCAGTATTTTCTAATGGAGAAAAATGAGAAAATGCAGAATCTTGCACACCTGTTAGTACTTCTTGCTTGTTCCCCTTAGAGAACCATAAAGAGGGCCTAAAAACGCGTAAGCCACATAGATGGGAATAACACACACACACGGAACAGGAGGGAGGGGGCTCTGTTTTGCAAAATTCACTGGTTTTAAGTAAGGCAAGCACAGGGGAAATTAGGACAGTAATACTTAAAACCAGTCTTTATATTTAAAAGGTAAGCAAGAAGGTGTGGCTTGGGATTTTAGTAAGTGCCGTGATGACTTAAAATGGGATCCAAAGTTGTTGGCACTTGTAATTCTGTGGCAATAATTCCATGCTTTATTGCATGATGTATTTGATGGAGAAACTTCAAACCTGTGTAACGTGGTGTGGTGGTGTGCTTATCTTGGCATCGCTCAGCCTTATTTTTGCTATTTTTGGTTAAATGCTGTAGTTTCTCCTGCTGTTTAATGACACTTTTTAAAGTCTTGCAGAAATCAAAGCAAGTGCCAAATTAAATGCTGTTGGCTTTTTTTCTTTTTGGGTAGGTGCTGTGACAAAAGATTATGGACCAAAATAGATTTAAACCATTGTAAATCCATCACTCCACTTATGCTTAGTGGCATTATTAGGAGACAGCCTGTAACCCTTGATCTTAGCTGGACAAATATATCTAAAAAGCAGCTGAGTTGGCTTATCAACAGACTGCCAGGTAAGTGATGTTTTTTGACCACTCCACTGAATTTAGCAAACCAGTTTGTATCTAAACTGCAGGATCTGGGTATCCTAGGAGCAGAGCTAGATACGTAGGAATGCAGCATCAGCGAGTTAAAATGGGCCCAAAATTAGTCAGGTTGTGACTACTTGACATGCTGGGTAAACTAATTTGAGGCAGGTCTTTGTCAACAGGTAACGTTGTGCAAAGTGCTTGGGCTGACGTGATTAGCAGAGGGGGTGGCGGGGCTCTGCTGTCACCCACGGTAATGAAGTTCCAGATGGTGGGGAGAGGTGGAGAGCAGGGCAGGAGAAGGCTCAGGGGGTCCCTGCTTTCCCTGGAGTGCTGGGATTGTTCGTCAGTGGCACGGGGCTTTGCCCAGCCTGCGCGTGGTAGCAGAGATCACCACGGACGTCTCTGGGTAGGGCACGTGCTCCAACCTCTTCTGTATCTGCAGGTCTTCGAGACCTGCTGTTATCAGGGTGCTCATGGATAGCAGTGTCGGCACTTTGTAGTTCCAGTTGCCCTTTACTCCGAACTCTGGACGTGCAGTGGGCAGAAGGACTGAAAGACGCACAAATGCGAGACCTCTTGTCGCCACCCACAGATAACCGGCCAGGTAACAGGCGGGAGGAGCACACGGGAGAGCTATCCCAGCCGTTCTGTGGCATGTTCTGCTGCTAGTCCCCTTGGAGGAAACGGGCAGAAACCCCCGCAGCTAGCACCGGTGGGGTTCTGGGCTTTGCTGAGGCGCGAGGTGTTCGAAGTAGTGACTTGCAACACCTCCTCGCCGGAAGCCACTGGGTAACGAGTGATGTTCTCTGGCTGCTGAACAGTCATCTGAGCCGCTGTGCTGGTTTTCTGTCTGACTTTCTTCTCTTCAGGCTGCAACGGGTGTACTTTAGAGAGTATGGAAACACTTTCTTCCAGTTCAGGGAAGGAGCAGTTCTGTGGGTCATGCCACATTCGCCCGGATATCAGCTCAGGTGAAATTTTGAGCAAATCAGATCTGCTTTCTGGCATGCACTGCACAGCCTACTGCTTATTCCCGACTTGTAATTCCGCTAAGCCCCTGCAGTTACTTTCATCCCTTTTGTTTTGAAATCAGGAGGTGGCTTTGTCCACGTGCCTGTGCCAAAAATAGACTTTTTACGTCCCCTCCAAAGCTCCAGACAGGCAAAAGCGTCTGAAGTTGATGTAGGGCAGCAGTGTTGTGTGTCACAGTGCATTTCATATAGATCTGCAGATGTTTGCGACACGGGGTGAGACTTGTGGGAGTGACCTGCTGCCTCCGCTTTCCAGGTCAGATCGACAACCGGAGTAAACTGCGGAACATAGTTGAGCTGCGTTTGGCTGGCCTGGATATTACGGATGCTTCTTTGCGGCTGATCATAAGGCACATGCCTCTGCTCTCCAAACTCAATCTTAGTTACTGTAACCACGTGACAGATCAGTCTATTAACCTGCTGACCGCAGTTGGAACCACCACGCGGGATTCATTAACAGAAATTAATTTATCAGGTAAGCAAAACAAGCGCAGGGGAGGGAATTGCCCCATGGCATTAGACTTGTGTGAAACTCTCATCAGTGGGAGCTGTTCTACCCAGCTCTTCCCCCGTTCCCGGTGTCAGCTCCCACCCGAGGCCTCCCTTGAAGCAGCCGGCTGCGCTGCCGGTGTCAATAACCCCGCTGCTGCCCAGCCCTTCCCCAGGCCCTCCCCCGGCAGAGCGGACTGACGCCTCCCGCCTGCCAGCCGCGCGTTGTCCCTTGCTCATCCTCCGCAGGGGATTTTTCCAGCGCTGCTGCTCTGCACATCTGGCGCGCTTTGCTTTATCTCATCGGTTACACAACAGAGTCACGGGGATCGGAGAACGGCGATGGGGCCGGCCGGGTCGTTTCACTGTCGGCACAGCGCGGGAGGACCAGAAAGGACGTACCACGGTGGAATAAACTGTCCTTGTGCTGGGAACAGGGCAAGACACACTGTTAAATCTCTCCTCCTTTCTTTTTTCTTTTTTTTTTTCTCCTGGCAGACTGCAATAAGGTCACTGACCAGTGCCTGTCTTACTTCAAACGTTGCGGAAACATCTGCCAGATCGACCTGAGGTACTGCAAGCAAGTGACAAAAGAAGGCTGTGAGCAGTTCATTGCAGAAATGTCAGTAAGTGTTCAGTTTGGGCAAGTGGAAGAAAAACTTCTGCAAAAACTGAGTTAGTTAAAGGACACGTGTAAATACTGGGGGGCGGGGGGAAGGGACTAAGAACACGTAGGGATTTTATTTTCAATTGGGAACTTGGAATATTGGAAAATACCGCGATTGGATTTTACAACTCTTGTCGAGGAGAGAACAACATGAAACTACCCATGTTACGAATTTCAACTTGTGCCACTAGTTCAGTCTACCTGGGATGTCCTGCACTGGCTCTTATGCAAATTCATAAGGCGACTGTTACTGATGATAATTGTTCACACCCGGAAGACGACTGATCCCCAAGAAATACTGTTATTTAAAGTACCACAGCATGTGCTTGGTAGCGTAAATTTGATTTCTGCTTTTCGTTTCTTAAAACAACAAAAAAAAACAGTTGGTGTCATTCAAGTGGACCACGCACTGCATTTCTGCCTTCTTAACACGTTTTGTTTTGTTACATCTTACATTATGCAGAACTATTTTTGTACAAAAATTGTTTAAAAATTATTTATGCAATGTTTGAATGCATTACCAGTGTTTCGGTTTTGATTGCCAATTTTTATCTTTACTTATGGTAGGCGAGAACTTAACCTATACTTCGTAGACAGTATCTATCTACAAATGTGCCCAGGTCAGGAAAAGTAGGTTAATACTTTCAACTTAAAGCATGTTTTAATGGAAGTTTATATCCTGCTTTGTATACTTCAGAAGTGACATAAGCATGTTGTGGAAATAAGGTGTAAATTATAGTTGAAGTAAAACACTTTGCCAAGTTTTATCTGTATAGAAATCACCTTTTTCTCAAAATTTTAAAAAAAAAATTCCAATTTCAGCTTTTGCACATAGGAGGGTTTCACTCTGTAGCATGAGCTCTTGTACTCAATATAAAATTAATTTATACAGTGAGTCCAGCCGTAGAATAAATGGTCAAACGTAGTCTCTCTTTCTTTGAAGTGTGAGTTGAGTTCTCATTTAAGGTTTATAACATGGTTATTTCCTGATTGTAAAATTCTGCATTCATAAGTGCCATTGTTGTACGGTGTTGTTTTCGTAGACCTTCCTGATGCAGTTTTACCTTTGTTGAATTTGTATAAACAATTGTACAAAAAGAGGCGCTGGCTCGGTGGGTTTCTGTTCCAGTGCGCAGTTGTTTTGTTGGGGGAAGCCGTGTTCGGGCTTTGGGGGTGCAGAGTGGCTGTGGGAGCTCGGTGGGTCACACTGGGGTTCTGCGTGCTTTGAGCCTGGATGAAAGCCAGGATTAACAGCAGAAGCCCCCCTTTCTGTCACGTGACAAGCAGTACTTGCACAGCACTGGGGCTTTGTCCTGCGCCTCTACGTTAGCATGTTCCAGTACGTTTTTACAAAATACCCACATATGCCGCCTTCCAGCTGGAGTGGGCCCAGATTAGCCTAGAGGAACGCTTACACATCACAAGGAAAATTGTTAAAGCTTGAGCTGAGTAACCAAGAGCGTGCCCACAGCTGGTTAAGGAAAGAGACAGAGGCTGAGAGAGCCCATCACAAATCTTTATTGAGCTTGTGTGGCTAATGGTCAGCATGGAAGTAACAGAGAGAGAATGTTTTTCTTCATTAGCTTACCCACAGAACAGAGACTCTAGGAATTAAGTACCATTAAAAAGGTAATTCTAAAAAATAAAGCCATGGAGAGGTTTGCTCCCTTCTGAAAAATAACCAGCAGCAACTTGAAGCTGTGTATTTTATTTTGAGGGGGAGCTACTTTCTCTTTTTCAAGCCAGCTTAATTTTTCACATAAAAGACAAGAGCAAGTGTGACAGCACAGCGGAGGGAGGAGTTCTGGGGCAGTACAGCTGAGGCAAAAGGTGGCCCTGTCTCCGTTGCTTTGCTAGCGTGTGGGAAATTAAAAGGAGAAACTTAAAGGATGACTGTCAGTCCAGGACTGACTAGGTCCTGCCTCACCTCTCTTTTTTTGTACAGTGAACTTAAACACAGTCGTGGCTGCGCTTGACCACAGATGGCCTGTCCCCAGAACAGGAGCAACTCTTGCCCCTCTCTCCCCTGAGCCATCCGTCACCCATCGCCTACAAGGACCCTTAAAATGCTTGCCCCAAGGGGACCCTTACCCCTGCTGATGGCACAGAGCCCAGCTGGAAACCAGGCCAAGGGCTGAGAGCAACGCAGGTCATTCAGCAGCTGCTGGGAAGCGCAGTTAATAGTGACGCAGCCTTGGTTAAAAGTCTGTGAACAAATGCCATGTTTCCTTTCCCTTCTTAATAAACCCCTCCCCATTTAAGGTTAGTAACGCCATACATTCCACATGTTAGCAGCAAGTAGTTTCATGACCCTGATTAGTATTCACAGTAGCATCAGGTGGTCGGCACATGGAGTACAATCATCACACATAAGGGTAACAGTTACAATAGGGACCACAGTAATACGGGTTACTATACCCCTTTTTAAAAAAATATTTTATTCCTAAACTCAAAAACCACTTAGTGATGGGTATTTGGACACCACATGGCAGAGCCCTGCAGAACGACTGAGCCCTCCGAGGTGACGGAGCTTTCTGTACATTTACAGACTGGCTAAGACAGTACGTGTGTAATGACAGACATTCAGAAGGAAGCATCGGCATAAACTGGATTGCTTAAGGGCTTCTGTGCAGGTACAGTTAATGGCAGTGCTTCCTACAGTCGTATTTTATACTGTTAACACTGTGCCAGGGACAGTGTTGGAACAGTTACATTCTATAATTACGTAAAAGCTGAATATTCAACTGATATATTCATTGCTTCTAATGCACTAGACAACATAACAAGCTAATATGATCAAGCAGCAGTGTTTTCTGACCGCTTGCTGAGTACCGAGCGTGGTAATTACAGGTGATATTCTTCAGAAGAGAGCAAGAACTGCTGTAAACAGTTTGACTCGAACAGTTTGTGGGTTTATAAGGTAAGCAGGGCAGCGCTGTTGGTGCGCGCACAGGCATCGTATTGCACCGCCCCACCGTGGGACTCGGTATGCTGTAGAAAAACGTTTCACAAACTTCTAGATCCTGATGTTCAAAATGCTGTGTTTATTGCGAACTCAAAAGCTGACACAGGCCCCAAGGTTCGGCTCTCCTGCCCACAGCAGTCCTGGAAGGGGGAACTATAAAAATCCGGTTTTGGTCTTACTTTAGGATTTGAACACATGCACGGCCCGCACCACGTACTGTCGGCAGATGGGGCACTCGCTCATCCTCTTGCCGCACTTGGTGCAGGTGACCATGTGGCCGCACTCCAGCAGGACACAGTCGATCACGGCGTCCATGCAGATCCGACACAGGTTATCGTCGTTGTCGTTCAGCTGCATCTTCTCACCCTCTGAAAACCAACAGAGAGGGAGGTCAGGCCTTCAGGCCCTGGAAAACCAGTTACCTTCTAGCCCAGGCGACCATTAAACTGCCTGTACAGGCAGCTGCTTTAGCATGAAGTAGCGCTGCTCCCTCCTCACAATAGTTTTTCTACCCCACAGCTAAGAATTAGTCTATATTCCTTCAAAAAAAGCAAAGAAACAAGAAGCAGAGAACCCCTAAGTGGGCACCCAATACTTGGCCTCATTCTTTAAACTCAGAGACCATTTTCAATTCAGAATTGTGATGACTGAAATAACATGCTGGATTAAAATTCAGAGCATGTTGGTTTTCCATTTCTGAGCTTACTTTGTTTGGTAGAACACCTTCCTCAGAAGATTAAACAAACACACTAATAATAATACAGCAGACTAAGAAGTGGAAGCCGTAAGTAGGCCGTAGAAGTGGCACAACTGACCAAAACCTGCCACCTTTCATTGCAAATGGACAACATCACCTGTCGATAACCAAATGTTCCATCAGACCATGTTGAAAAAAAAAAAAAAACCAAAAAACAATCCTAAGTGTAAAGCTTGATTGCAGACAGGTTTTCAGTTCTAGCCTACGACCAAACTGAGGGTCTCACTCAAGCTGTGCTTTGATGTTCACCAACAGTCCTCCACCCTCACAATCCTTTTCCACCCCGATCAGCTGATTATTTCACACCTGGTTATCACAGTCCCTGTGGTGTGATGTGCTGGCACAACCTGGCTGTGCAGTGGCCCAGGGCTACTAAGTTTTCCAGTCACCACAGTGCCCTGTTCTTTACAGCCTGGCCACTGGATGCAGGAATGACGAGCCAGGCAGGCATTTTTCAAGCTGGTGATGACATCCAAAAGCTGCTCCTCAGATCACGCTTTGTGAACAGGAATCGGTCTGTGACTACACTACAGTCATCACGCAAGTGAAAGACTCCAATTGTTGAGTGTAGCAGAGGGCAGAAGAAGAGCAGTCACTGAGCTGCAGCCACAGAACCACCTTATCGTGAAAACACAGACCAAGACCAAACCACTTGAACTTGGACTTTCGCCACGGTAGCTTTTAATTCTGTACTGCAGTAAAAGACCTGAACTGCTTTGATCTGTTGACAGCTACTGAGAAGCTCTCTTGCTAATGCCTTGTGAAACCTAATCGAGGACATGGAGGTGCCAAGTTTCATGTTCTCTGAGGAACCAGTTCTCAGTTGTGCAATTTTACCTTCATCGTGAAAGCTGAGCTGTCTGAGCTTTGGGAAAAAAGTCTCAAAAAAAACCCCAGCACAATCCTGGAAAGCCTCATTTAGTCACTAGAACCATGTTCAACTACGCTAGATGCACCCTGAATTGTTAAAACCCACTTGCCAGTTCTTCCAGCTAAGCAAACCAAGTCAGATACCAAGTCCTCCTGTTGGCAGAACCAGCTATGGGAAAGCAGAAAATAAGTAGTCTTAAGAAAGCAAGAATTAAATATAAACCTACGTGTCTTGTGGTTTTCCTCACTCTCTCTGTATAGTCTGCTCACTTTTTCCACAAGTTCCCATTTTTCACAGCATCCCGAGTAGTTGACAAAATTACACGCAAGTATTTCCTTCAGCTGCCGAACACTCAACCCTTCAATGTCTTCCAGACTTGAAATATCGGACAAAGATGCCCTCGCTCGCTTTCTGGACAATCCAGGGGTCTGAAACACATCAGTTGTATGGTTTTAACGGTCCCACTAAGTTCAGAGCACCAGATTTGGTGCTACATTAAGCTGCAGCAGCTTAGCTAAACTTTTATTCTTTTTAAAGCAGGTACATGCAGATATGCATTGCCAGACACAGCTAATTCTGAAAGAACTAAAGCATGACACTAAATGTTGACAGAGATCTAAACACTTTATGGTGTCATATGCCAAAAATTTATTCTTTGGATGATTCATCTCTCACCTGCTCTTCTGCACTTTCTTCTTCTTCATTATTTATAGAGGATGTTTCCGTTTGTCCCTGTGTACAAAATGAAACGAATCAGGATAAAAACCACATTATCCCTTATAAAACATTTTCCTTTGTACCAAACTGATCACAGATGACAATGACATTTTGAAGTTTTGATTGCTACTAATCATTACTAAGCCACCTTTATCATCCAAACTAGTGATCTTAAACAGTAATCTGTTTTCAGGTGCAAGATACAAAAGGCATTTTTCCTGCCACCCCAAACAGTACCAACTGGCATTTTATTTTAAAGCGATGCATATCTATTTTTTTTTAAAAAAAAAAGCAAGCTATGCTGTACCATAAACCACATGTTAATTATTGTACCCGTAAAGGTGTTCCATTTCCTGTGCTTCCCCTTCTGTTTGCAAGTTCTCCTTGAGACGACACCGATACGGACATAGAAAATGGATGAGTAAAAAACCCCGAAGTCTGTGACCGTGACGAATGCAAGCTACTAGCGTCCATATCCTCCTCCGAACCTAATCCATGATGGCACAGCACAAGATCCACCAAGTCTTCTTTCTCTCTGC